GATTGATCCCCAGCCCCAGTGGGGGGTAGTGTGGGAGGCAGCCATTCAGTGTGTCTCTCCCTCTCTCCCTTCCACTCTGTCTAGAAAGCAATGGAAAAATATTCTCGAATGAGGATTAAAAAGAAAAAGAGAAAAGAAATGTGTGTTTGAGATAGGAAGGGATTCAGAGCCAGCAAGAACACGGACTACCTTCTGCGGATTGTCTGTGGGCAGGATGTGTTTGATATCATATGGAATGCCCTTTGCCCCAGAATCCCAATCCTGCGTGATTTCCCCCAGGCACTCAATGGTGGTGCTCAGGGCATTCACGCACAGTGTAGCAGATGCAGTGCGTTGTCCACAATGATGCAGAGTCACCAAGAGTTATGTGGTTATATTTTAGTACCAGCTCTCTGATGTTTGTGTCAAGACTTTGTAGTAGAAGATTTAGCCCAATTCAGTCACATTTAAAGCGCCTTAGGAATAGGAGCTTATTTGTTTTTTGAGATATTTAAAAATGCACTTTTACCAATTTGGGTGTCAGAATCAAGCTTTACCTGTTTTAAAGCAGTATTTTCTGGCTGGTGGTGAATGGTATTAGGAAAAAGACACAAACTAGATCAAGGAAATAAAGACCGCAAAACCTAAGATTAAAATTACACCTATCCCTTTCTTATTTTGCTCCAATTATAGATTTTTGCACTGAGGACTGACTTATTTATAGGACTTATTCTATTTTGGAGGCTATCTCTAATTTGTATATAGTAATGTTTAAAAATCTATGGGTCACTTTATTTTGTTGTTCTTGTTCTCTGGTATGGTGCATGGCTCTGTGGTGGGAGTAAAGAAATATAATACTTTTAAGGATTATAGCATTTAAGTTGGGATGGCTGGGCATTTTCCCATCAACTCAATAATAGTATTAGGCAGTTTTTGGTGAATACCTACTGAATGATGTGTAAAACTGGTAGTTTAGGAGTTCAGAAAAGGGGACAGCTAGCCTAGAGTAGCCTGGAAGGAGTCAGTGAGGTTGTTTTTGGAAGGCTTTGTTAGGATGTATTTAGGAGAGAGGCTAATCTAGGCTAGGCATTCTGGAAGTGGAAGGCCCAGGATTATTCAGGGGAGAGTAAAGGAGAGTTTGACTGGACTGTTGGGTTCATTATAAGAAGAATATAATGATTGGAAATACATATTGAGATCATGTTTGTACATTATGAGATGATAATGGTGATAGCAGCAACAGTGTTTGATGGTGTCTGGGAAGGGCTGGAGGAGGAAGAGGAGAGAGGCAGACATTTCAGTAGGAAAAACTGCATGATTGAACTAAGGTGGTCGCGATCAGAATGGACAGGAAGGGGCGAAGTAACAGTCGAGAAGGAATGATGCGTGGACTTGGGGACTAACCCATTCATGACGCAAAGCTAATGGGGTGTATGAGAAGACGGTTCGAAGTGTTAGCTCTGGAGAGCAGTGAGAATAAAGCTGTAAACAAGCCAAAGGACAGAGGAATCATTGCTTTTTATGGAAAGAGGACTTTATCAGTAAATATGTGACTATGTCAGTGAAATATATGATTCCAAGTCAGCAACTGGAACTTGAGAGAGAAATCAGGAATAGACTACATCATGGTAAAGGAAATGAATATGTGAGGCTGTTTTTTGAAGTTTGGAACCTAAAGACAAAGAGAGAAACAAGATTATAGATAGCGTGGGGACCAACAGGAGGTTTTTGTGGAGAGGGTAGAAATAGAACATGTCCATAAATAAAAAGGGAGAAGAACTCCAACATGTCTATAAATAGAAAGGGAGAAGAAATAGAACATGTCTGTAGACAGACAGGGAGAAACCAGTGGCTAGGAATAGACTAACAATGTTGAGAGGTAGTAATTGAGGGAACTTTGTTGATGTGGAGAAAAATAGACTGGTCTTAAAATATTAGGGTTTTAAGGATGCTGGTTACCTAGGTCCTGGTCAATCAGTATTTTACTGCACAAGGCCAGTCATTGAATTCTAGGACAAGTACCTCAAAAGAATTACTTGGGCCCTGGCTGGTTTGGCTCAATGGTTAGAGCATCGGCCCACGGACCAGAGAGTCCCAGGTTTGGTTCTTGCTAAGGGCATGTACCTCGGTTGCGGTTTGTCCCTGGTCCTGGTCATGTTCGTGTGGGTGGCAACCACTCGATGTGTCTCTCTCACATCGATGTTTCTCTCTCTCTCTTCTCCGCTCTCTCCGAAGATAAATGCAAAGAATGTCATTGGGTGAGGATAAAAAAAATTACTTGGTTTAGTGTGTTTTTTACTTTGGTAGAAATAGCCCTCTGTCGTACTGGTGTTAAAATCATTGCTTTTGTGGACATCTTTCTACGTTACATCAATTTGATATTCTGTTCTGGTTTCCTAGCCTCCTTTTTTTTTTCTTTATTGATTTTATAGAGAGAGATAGAAACATCAATGAAAGAGAACATCAACTGGCTGCCTCCTGCATGCCCTCCACTGGGGATCAGGCCATAATCTGAGCATGTGCCCTGACCCAGAACAGAACTGGCGACCTCTTGGTGCATGGGTTGGTGCTCAACCACTGAGCCACACTGGCTGGGCTCCTACCTTCTTTTTTTTTTTTTATCCTCACCCGAGGATATTTTTCCATTTTTTTGTACAGATAGAGTGGGAGGGAGAGAGAGGAAGGGAGAGAGAGAGAGAAACATCGACGTGAAAGGACACATCGAGTGGCTGCCACCCGCACGACCAACCAGGGCCGGGGACAAACTGCAACCGAAGTACGTGCCCTTAGCGGGAACCGAACCCGGGTCTCTCCGGACGCAGGCCGGCGCTCTAACCGCTGAGCCAAACTGGCCAGGGCCCTAGCCTTCTTTTGATCACAGATTCCTGCAGACTTGATTAGCATCAGTGTCAAACCTACGAATTGAGTCCCTCAATTGAGTTACTAAACTAGAGACCCAATTCAGTAGCCTCCCTGACTATTGGGCAGTTTGGGTTACGTGTTAACAGATAGTATTTGACATTATATTACTTTATCATCATGTTGAGTAATATTCCAGTGGCCTTGTAAATTAATTTTTTAAAACTTTGACCAGTCTATCAACGTGTTTTATTCTTTCCCAGTGAAATCTTTATTTTGCAGAAAATGAAATAAATGAAATCCATTTACTGCCACTCAGCCACTCTTATTGGCCATGTTTGTTTTTAGTGAGAAAACAGTGTCATGGGGAGGAGCCTGGGCTGGGGAGTCCGCTGGGCCAGTTACGCTATAATGACAAGACTTAGGCTTGTTTCACTATTTTCATTGTGACCATTTCTTAGAGCAGTTTAAGGTTCACAGCAAAGTTGAGGGAACATACAGAGATTTCCCATTAGTCTCCGCCTCTGCCTCCATCCTCCATGCATATAGGCTAGTTTCTAAATACCACTGGTTTTCAGTTTCTTCATCTCTGAAATGCAGGTAGTAATGACTACTTCATAGATTTCTGGGTGGAGGAAGACCACGTTTTTAGAATGTCTGATAGTTAATGAGTGCTCAGTAGTGGGTGTGTGGTCATATTAGAGACATAATTGCTTTAACACTTACTTGGGGACAGCGTTATATTTATAGGGTGCTGTATAATATTTTTGATGATAATGCTTAATATGGTCCTGAGAGTTTCATGAAATGAATGAGCGAATGAGTGAATATACACATGCATACAGAAATAAATAGTTCCATGGGATCCCTGAGTCTCTGGAAAGATTTATTTTAAAGTATGTTTTTATTGATTTTTTTTTTTTTTAGAGAGAGAGAGAGAAACATTGATGTGAGAGAGAATATATCTGCCTTCTCATGCCCCCTACTGGGGATTGAGCTCACAACCCAGGCATGTGCCCTGACTGGGAATTGAACTGGGACCTCGCAGACCGTGGGATGATGCTGAATCCACTGAGCCACGCCAGACAGGCTCTGAAAAGTTTTTACTTCAGTCCTAGGTAGAATTTCTTGCCTATATGTACTATACAACTTAGGTATCTTGAAAATTTAGATGTGGTGGTCATAGAAATGAATTGATATAGTAGTCTTAGGAACGATGGTGCTTTCTGTTTCAGATCTGCCTTTTCCTTTCACAATAGTGAGACATTTTGAAGACACTGTTCTTAGAAACTATAGAACAGTTGATTCTAGCCCAGGCCCCATCCCCTGAAGCTCTAAAGTAGATTCATTTTAGAAGCAGTATCACTGGCAATAGTGATCAAAAAGCTGTGTGTGTGTGTGTGTGTGTGTGTGTGTGTGTGGTTTTATTTTATTTTCTGCTGCTTTGAAGTTCGTAAGATGAGTAGTGGCCCTAGAAAATGTCTGTAGGTCCGCACCTCTTAGCCCGCATGGTCTGTGATTCCTGTGGGCAGGCTTGCCCTCTGTGCCGCACGTCCCCCAGAGTCAGTGCAGCAGGTTCACCCTGCACGCCTGGACCTCTGCGCAGCCTCCGTTTCTCATCTGTAATCTGAGACTTTATGTGACACAGTTTTGTGTTATTTAAATGTGGTAATACATCTAAATGGATTAGCTCCTTGCCTGCAACATAGTAAGCCCTTGGTGAGTCTTACTGCATTGTTGCTGATGCTGCTATAATTTGAAATAATTGATGATTAAGTTATGACTGCAGGGGAAATACTGATTAACTCAACACAGTTCCTGGCCCATAGCGGACCCTTAATAAAAATGTCTGAAGCATTTGAGATCTTGCTGCTCAGCAGATGTGTCAGTTGGACTCAAATAAACTCATTAAAAAATGTTCCCTTTACTCCCATATTCAAATGCCCACCACACCCTCCCCTAGTTTTCAGAGTAGACAGAGAATGGGTGGCTTTCCAGACATAATGCCTCCTCCTCAGACCTGCCACTGACATACAAATGGCTAGGTTAACATACTTCTGCATGCCAGGCCCAGGATTTAGAATTCTGTTTCGGTGGTTTGCAGTTGCTTTTCCTAATGGCGCATCTACATGGCGTATTGAGCTGCTTATCTGATCATGCAGATGCTGCTGACTGAGTACTTGGACATGAAGAATACTCGTACGGCCTCTGAGACGTCGGCCCAGCTGAGTTACGCCAGCACCGGACGAGAGTTTGCAGCCTTCTTCGCCAAGAAGAAACCTCAAAGGCCAAAAAATTCTCTTTTCAAGTAAGTATCTCCCCGCTGGTAACACAGCAGGTGTCAAGGAAGTGTTAGATCCTGGTAGGAGGACTTCTGCTGAGTGATGGCCATCACTTGACCCACTTAAAATTGATTTGAAATCATTTATAGGAAGTGAATATACATTCAATTGCGTGTACTTTTGTGTTCTGTAAGGGGAAGTGTTCATATTGGAATATGATTACTGGACTATCTAGAGCTTCTGAAAAAACTGTAGGAATTTTTTTCTGGGGAGTTTTATATATAATGAAGGGAAACAGAATTGTCCAGTTGTTTCTGGGGAGATATATATGAAATGAAAAGAAATGTAATATTTTAGCCTTTGGAAAGCCCCCAGTGCCAAGAAGCAACCTTTGTTAATAAAGTTATGTAAGTCTCTCTAGCTAAGTAGTATTGGATCTTGTCTGATTTAATAAAGGAACAATCTGGAAGTTCTTTTTATTTTTTTCTGACTACTATCTTACCTAACCCCACCTGGCCATGTATTCTAAGTACATGTCACTTGGTAACAACCAACAGTCACATTGTTATCAACATTAATAACAACAACAACTATAACAGCTGCCGTTGATGTATAAGTTCCTCGAGACAGTCGGAAGCATAACTCCCCTGCGGCCAGTCTCGGCTTGGGGAGTGCGGCTGGCACTGACTGAGGCCTCACCGAGGGCGGCCAAGGCCTTAGGCCATTTTCACGGACTAGCTCATTTACTCATGGCCACCTTGCAGGTGTGGGTTCTATTTTTAATCCTCTTTTTACATGTTAAAGAAACAACAGCTGCAGCACAAGAGAGGCGAGGAGACTTACAGCTGGCAAGTATTAGGAGCAGGAGTTAAATCTTGGCAGACCTGTGTGTGCTTTTGAAGAGTTAGTAGATATTTAAGAAGGTGTATCTGTAAACCTAAGCATGTAAAGTGATTACAGAAGTATTATCTGAATGGTTAGTGCTCCAGGATCTTTTACGGATTCACTTTTGAGATTTGTTTTGTTGTTGTTGTTTATTGGTTTATTTTACCCCTCACCCAAGGATATGTTTTTATTGATTTTGAGACAGAGGAAGAGGGAGAGAGAGAAACAGCAATGTGAGAGAAGCATGGATTGGTTGCCTCCTGTACACACCCCAATCTAAACCTGGGTATGTGCCCTGACGGGGAATTGAACCTGTGATCTTATGATGATGCTACAACCGACTGAGCCTCACCAGCCAGGGCGTGTGTGTGTGTTTAAAAATTATGGATTCATAGAGTTCTTAATCATTAAGGAAAGTTTCAGCAGTTCATTTATCCCACATCTAGAGGAGATGAGGTTTATTGTGTTTACAGTGGAATAAAATCCATTGTTTATTGAGTGTGTTTCTTCCTTTTTTATTTTTTTTACAGTTTTATTCAAAGGTTAGATGTAGTATCAGTACAGATGCTTTCATCTGCAAGTAATGTAGAACCCCAGATGAGCTATGAGTTGATTAAAGCACAGGGCAGTTCTTACCTCACACAATAAGGATGACTGTAGATTCCTTAAGTCACCATCACTGTGTCAAGGGCCCAGCCGGTTTCACTTCCGCCTTCATTTCCACTCCAGTGACAACAGCGATGCCAAGGAAAGAGGGTGTGATTCTGCTTATAAATCTTTTTGTAATTGGTAGTCTTTATTTTTTATAGCAGGTTCAGGTATTTAGAAGAATCGAATAGACAATGCAGAGTTCCCTTATGTTCCCCTCTTCTGCAACTTCTTCTACCAACATCTTGCATGAATGTGGTACATTTGTTAACAATCGGTGACCCAATATTTATTTACATTATTAGCTGAAGCCCATTGTTTGGATTAGGGTTCACACTTTGTTTTCTACAGTTCTATGGGTTTTGGGAAATGTAGAATGTCCTATACCCCCCTTACAGTCTCGTACAAAGTGGTTTCACGCCTGTTTTCCACTTGTTTATTCCTTCTTGTCCCTGCTCCCTGAACCCCTGACTTCATTGCTGTCTCTTTAGTTTGCCTTTCCAGAGTGTCTTTCATAGTTCAAGTGATATAGTATATAGCCTTTCAGACTATATTTTTCCACTTAGCAGTATGTGTTTAAAGTTTCATCTCTTTTTGTGGCTTGAAAGATCATCTCTTTGTATCGCTGAATAATATTCCATTGTGTGGATGTACCGCAGTTTTTCCATTCAACTACTGAAAGGCATCTTGGTCGTTTACATAAAGCTACTGGAAACACTCATGTGCCAGTTTGTGTGTAAATGTAAGTTTTCAACTCATTGGGATAAATACTCAGGGGCATGGCTACTAGATCATATGGTACGACTAAGTTTAACTGTAAGACACTGCCAAACATCTATGCCACGTCACATGCTTTTAGAAGTATTTTAAGGTATTTCTCACACATTTATTAGTGTTTCCTGCCAGTGACAGCTGCTCTGCACGTTCTTCTCAGCGACCAGGCCTGGGTCTGAAGTCCACTGCTAACCCCGTCCCTGGCAAGGGCAAGCAGACCACGCGGTTGTCTTGAACCAGCTGGGTTTTTTCTCTTGAGATGGGTCTCGAGCTGGAAAGGCAGCCACTTTTCCTGAGCGCAGGGGAAACACTGCTGAGTGAAGAGGGAGCAGGTAGCAGGACACCCCGATAGAGCTGGAGCTGTGCCAGCAAGCAAGGTAGCCGGAGGAAAGGTAGCGAGTGGAGGCTCAGAGACTGCCTCGGATGCTGCCTGCGCCCCCCCCCCCCCAGCTCCACCCACCATCTAAATGCAGGCATATTGCTGAAACCAGGTTTCAGGGTGTTTAGGTTTCATGCTCTCAGCCATCATCCCTAACTCAATCTGAGACCACATAGCCATTTTCAAACATTCAGCCAATCCTGAAATTGTGGTGTTGGAAAACATATAAATTGTGGGAAATGAATAAATGACCTTGAATAATTGTCACATGTTTATTATCATCATCACATTGAAATAACTCCTCGCCCGCATAGAATGAGGCCATTATTACAGGTCTCTTGTTGGTCTTAGCTGTACCATCGATGAGCCCTGTGCCCCAGCGTCTCCTGGCTCGAGGGCCGCGTGCCTTTGGCCGGGAAATGAGGAGGTGAGACTGGATCCTCTCTCGAGCCGCTTCTACTGTAAAATGGTATTAATCCCTGACTTGTTCCAACTGGAGAAGGATTCCCAAGGAGCAAAAACACCTCAGGTCATGAAGGGTGAAGATTTTGGTGAGCTGTAGCCTGTTTTTATCACATCGTGATGGCCGTCATAGCTCTCTTTAATTGTCCCGGCCAAGGTTAATTAGTGTGTTTAAGTTCTCTATAATGTGTGCCTCTCCATCCTTTGCTCGAGTTTCTTTCTTCCCCTTGTCATTTCTGATCAATAGCTGTCAGCATGCTTTTTGGAGGTCAGTGGCTTCTTTTCTGTACGTGACTGGTGGGTGGCACTTGACTGCACACTCAGCCTCCCTTCTGGCTGGGTGCCCACTTAGTTCTGTTAGGGTGCAGGGAGAGGATCAGGTGACCCAAGTGTCCCCCAGACTGACACGCATCTTAGCGCCCACCTGCCTTGCCAGAGCATGGGTGAAGAAGGCAGAGTGAAGGGAGATGGCGCTCCTTCCTTGTTGCAAAAACCTGCCCCATGACCAGGGCTGCTCTTCCTTTGTGTCGCTGTTTACCCGAGTGGCAGCCTTTCTTTGAGGGTGTCTCTGTCAGCAGTTACTCTGACTTGGAAGATCCCAGGCTGGGATTAGAACTTCTTAGCACATCAGAGGATTGACCTTTGGTTTGAGTCATCATTTTAACTGTTTGGTTTTTCCCCTTACCTACAAGTTTCTCTTAAGATTGTGATTTGTGCCCAGCTGTTGTGGCTCAGTGGATTGAGCGTCGACCCAGGCACCAAGAGGTCACCAGTTCGATTCCCGGTCAGGGCACCTGCCAGGTTGTAGGGCCGATTCCCAGTGGGGGGCGTGCAGGAGGTGGCCAATTGAAGTTTCTGTGTCCCTCCTTTCCTCTCTCTAAAAAAGTCAATAAAAACATTTTTTTTAAAGGTTGTGATTTGTTCTTTCTTTTTGGTATTTATTATTTTAGATTTTAGAGACCTGTTCGGTATGTTGAGCCTCACCCCTTGTTTTTGACCTCTGAGACATTCCCGGGTAGGTGCGGACAGGCACGCATCCTGTAGCTTGGTGTACTCGAGAGCATCTCCCGCGGTAGGTGGCCGGCAGGTCAAGCCTGGCAGCCTTTAGAAGCCGTGCTGTCTGTAGCTGCCTGGCTCCGTCGGAGTAGTTTATCAGCTGCACTCCTGACGTGCCCTGTGTGCTAGTGCCCTGGCTGGGGACGGAGACCACCAGACGTCTGCTCTGAGCAGCCAGGACTCCTGGTGACCGCTGACCGGTGGCTTCTGAACTAGACAGCAAGGCTAGAGTGACTTTATGAGATACTCTTGTTGCTGTGCATGTAGGGATAGAGGATCTGGAGGCAAAAGAAAGTTACAACAGATCAGAGTTGCACCAGCTAAGACGGAAAAGGAGCGAAGGTCCAAAGACTAGAGGAGCGTTAGCCAGGAACCCCGCTCCCACATCAGGGTCTGTGCCAGCCTGCCCTGGCCCTGTCATGGAATAGCCAGAGTGTCTTGGTTGGGGACCGTTGTGGGGCATCACACAGACTAGAGGAGAATACTTCTGGATGATGTAGCTGCACACCCCTGTTTGGTCACCTCCTAACTGTGGGTTTCCGCCCGTCCCTGCAGGTTTGAATCGTCGTCCCACGCCATCAGCATGAGCGCCTACCTGCGAGAGCAGCGGAGGGAGCTGTACAGTCGGAGTGGAGAGCTGCAAGGTGGGTGAAGGTGCTGCTCTGGGAAACGGAGTTTTCTGGAGGGAGATCGGACGTGTGCAGCGTGTGCATTTGAGGTCGGAACTCCCAGGGTTCTTTCAAGTCAGCAAAGGTTTAAAGACTGGCTCTGTTTCTTCTGCCATGTCCCAGCATCTGTTGACAAGCAGGTAGAACTACCACTGTGGCCACAGGACTTGCAGACCTGCTGCCATTCGCGCTCAGAGATGACAGAGGTGCGGCTTGTCTCTTCTCTGCGTGTGGATGGAGAGATGAGCCCAGCCCCGTCTAGGGGCTGCCAGTCTTCTGTGGCTGCCATTGTTGCTTTAATTAGTGTTTTCAGTGCCTCCTGGAATATGCCGAGAGTGTCTGAGATTTGGAAATAGGCAAATGCGGTCTCTGTCATTGTTTAAAGAGAGGGAGGATGCCCCTATGTTGATTATGTTCTAATCAACATAACTTTGACACATCGGCTATTTGATACCCACACGTGGCTGCTAAGCAGTGGGGATCTGAAGAAAAAATACTTAAGAAAATAAATTATGAGTAAATTTAATTAAATAAAATATCAGACCAAGAGCATTTCTGTCTTTGACAAAAGGACCCGATCATGGTAAATGTAATCAGTTAGAGATCTGGGAGGGCCCGCTGAGTGCAGAGTGTCCTAGGCATCAGAGGGCTGGAGGCCAGGTGTAGGGAGGAAAAGACTTAGGTCCAGTGTGGAGCTAGGGCCCGGAGGGCGGTATCGGAGAGTGCGTGCTCACACTGGGCAGGTGCATGCATAGCACCGCTAGAGGAGTCCAGGGAAGGAGTGAATATTTACATTATTGTAGAACTGGGCTTTCCCAGGAGGGATGGCTGAGAACTCTTGCCGTTTTTCTGCACTGACGGCACTTGGGATATTTTTAATATATTTTATTATATTTTAAAATTATTTTTGAGAGTATTACAGATGTCGCCCCTTTTCCCCATTGCCCCCTCCACCCTGCTCCCCCCCATCCAGGACTTCTCCACACTATTGTCTTTGTCCATTGGTTATGCATATAAGTTTTTGGTTATCCCCCCCCCCCCAGCTTCTCTTTGAGATTCGTTTGTCTGTTTCCTGCTTCCACATCTCTGAATCTATTTTGTTCGTCTGTTTATTTTGTTCATTAGATTCCAAATATAAGTGAGATCATGTGATACTTGTCTTTCTCTGACTGGCTTATTTTGCTTAGCATAATAATCTCCAGGTCCTTCCATGCTGTCTTAAAGGGTAAGAGATCTTTCTTTCTTACAGCTGCATAGTTTTACATTGTGTACATGTACCACAGCTTTCTTATCCACTCATCTGCTGATGGGAACTTGGACTCTTTCCAGAACTTAGGTATTCTAAATAGTGCTGCTATGAACATGGGGAGCACTTGGGATATTTTGAGGTGACTAGTATAGACAATTAAATATTTAGTTTCTAAGACTCATCATCGCTCTACATCAAAATATTATGAGCTGAACAGCCAGCCTTTCTGGACTTAAAGACGATAGCTTCATCATGCCTACATTCACCTTCATCATTAATCCAAACACCTATACGTTTTCTGAAGATCCTGCATGCTCTCTCATAGTTCTATCAGTAACAATCCCAGAGCTCGTGTATGTACTTATCAGAACTAGAAGCCTAGAGGTACGTGTGAGGATATGAGGGAAAGGAGGTCAGCCGACCAGTGTTTTCTTTCATATGAAAGTGTTGCTGTGTGTTCTAGAAAACGTGCGTGTGCATCTGGGAGTCTTGAATCACAGAGGAACAGAGAGTTGGAATCGGAGCAGAGGTTGGAATGACCCCCTCTGTGCTGAGACCAGGGTGAAGGAGGAGAATGACCCAGGCTCTGGCGGGCAGCGACCTCCCGGGAGTATGGGGTGGACTGTGACGCTTGGAAGGCAATGATAGTAACAGCGCACGTGTTCTTGTAGGACCAAGCGTGCTTACTGCCCCCTGTGGGTGGAGCATGGAAAAGATGATCTCAGGCTAGAGGTGTCTTCCATACACAGTGTCCTAATTGGAATTTCAGAGTTGGCTTGAGGAATAGTGCAGCCCGGCTGGTGCGGCTCAGTGGTTGAACATTGACCCATGCACCAGGAGGTCACTGGTTCGATTCCCGGTCAGGGCACATGCCCAGGTAGTGGACCCAATCCCCAGTGTGGGGCGTGCAGGAGGCAGCCAATCGATGTTCTCGCTCATCCATGTTCTCACTCATCAGTATTTCCATGTTCTCATTCATCAATGTTTCTCTTTCTCTCTAAAATCAATAAAGAAAAAAATATTTTTTAAAAAAAGGAATAGTTCAAATTTACCTTCATAATTTCTCTCCCCTGGTTTCTAATATATAAAATTTCCTTAATGGGGACAAACAAAATCTTTTTTCTCTTCATCTTGAATCTCGATGATTTCTCTTTTTTTAATTAGTCAACATAATCTTTTAGAGTAGTTTTAGATTCATAGCCAAATTGAGTGGGAAAAGCAGAGAGTTCCTGTGTGGCCCTGTCCCGCTCCCGTACACCTTCCCTGCGTCACCGTCCTGCTCGCCGGAGCCCTGCGTGTGGCACCTGGAGGTGTAGGTGGGCCATGCAACGAAGGGGACAGCAGCAACCTGCCGCTCAGACTCAGCCAGTTAGTCCACGACGGACACTAGATTCTTTTGTGGTGTTGTCGATAGCAAGAATAGGAAGCGCTGTGTGCTCTAGCCATGTGGAATGACTGTGTCTCCCGATCTCCCGTGGTCCCTGTCCTCCTGAGACGCAGTGTCCCAGAGCGATGAAGACCAGAGGGTTCTGGACCCGAACTGCCCATGTTTAAAATTTAGCTTCGTGACCTCTGTGCCTCTGTTTTTTTGTCTCTGAACGGGGACAGAAATAACGGTGCTTATCCCACGAAGTGGTCGCGAAGGGAGGTAAGTGTGTAGAAAAATGTCCTTGTACAGTGCAGGTTACGCCTGCCTCTTGCTGCTCAAATATTATCGCACTCAGTAGTTCTGTCTTCAGAGTTTTCATATGCATTCTGTTCTCTCTGTCTCGCTAAATGCTCGGCTTTCCAACTTAAATGGAACTGTCCCTTATACTGAAGGGCCTTCCTCTCCATAACCTGACACACACATGCGCACACCTGCACACACGGCACACACACATGCACACACACGCACTCTGAGGTTGTGGCCCCTGGTGTGTGCTCACATCTTAGTGTTCCCTTTCTGGGCACTTTTGCACTAGTTGTGGATTAACGCCCACGTGGAGCCTGCCCGAAGCTAGAAGCCCCGTGGGGAAATAGTGTATGTCCTGCTCTGGGCACAGTGCCTGGTGTCGCAACTGCGCAGTGAGCCCGGCTGATGGTGAGGGAAGGAGGACGGAGCCGAGGTCTGAGGCGGGACAGAGAGCTTACCACCGCGAGGTAGGAAGGCAGCAAAGGAGAGGGGCGCACGCGGCCCTCGTCCGTGTCATGGGTGCCCCGGTTGCTTACGTTGAAGGGGTAGAAGTTGTGTGTAGATATATTTTTGTTCTCTGCAGTGATACACAGCTTTATTCAGTGGGAATGTTGCCCTGGAGTCTGGCCCAGGATAATACTGCCCTGTGTAGTTGAAAACCATTTTAAAATCCAACAAAGTTTCAGAGGAATTTCATTCTGTGAGGACGGTTCATGGAAGAATCACTACCATCTAACTAGGAACTTTCCCATCTACAGAACTTAATTGAAATATGGAACTTAAAAGCAGTAGTCTGTTGCACTTTCCAGTGTTCAGCAAAATAGGAGGATTCGTCTCTGCTTACGAGGGGAGAGAGTAGTTAGCAAACATGTCATGCTCAGAATAATCATTAAAAATAAGTTAGCTGAGCTGACACACGCCGGCTTGGTGAGGGACTGGATCAGGGGACCAGTTTTTGTGAAGTTTGATAGTGTTCCATTCAGGAACAAAAGTTTCTCTGATGAATGCTTTTAACATTTCAGCAGGAAAAATGGAAATCACCCCCGTTTTCCTTGAAAAGCGGCCATCCTCTTCGGTTATCCTATTAATCTGCCGGGTCCAGGAGCACAGTGAGATCTACATTTACGTATCCCTGAAGGGGCGGAACTGAACAGCTCAGTCACATCGTGAGGCAGGCAGGCGATCTCTGTGTCTTCTGAGCACGTGGAGCCGCAGGTTTGCCTCCCAGTGGCTTGGTTCGTGGGGTCACCGTTTCCTTCTGTGCAGGCGAAGCGGTAAAGAAACCCACCAGAAAAGACCATCACAAAGTAACATTAAAAACAGGTCCAATTTTACAAAAGTTAAGTTCCTGCCAACATTTTCAATTTATCATGCAATTAAAAATGTTACTCAGCCCAACAGCACACAAGGGGGGAAAATGAGGTTTCTTTGGTATCATCAACCCATCTCAGTTGGCTCTGACTGTTGGGTCCAGATGGCCGGTTCCATGGTCTGCCGTAGGCAGTTGGGCTGAGGAGGTGGGGATGCTACCTCCAGCGGGCAAGGTAACAGGTGGAAATCTAACGTGCGCGTGCGTCTGTGTTAATCATCGGCGTCCTGTTGTTTGAGCCTCCCCACCGCTTCATTGCAGTGCTTACCATGGTGCAGGTCAGAGAGGGACTCCTTTTAATGAACATTTAGCTTGAGTATAGCTTCTCCGATTTAATGTGCGATTCTTCAGGAGATTAAGATAACTGATGAACACATTATCTCACGAGGGTTAAAAAAAATCAAATACTGCCACTCATGTCCAAAGTAAGCTCTTGGGTTACTCAGCCCCGCTGTGCCTCAGTTGTCTCATTTGGAAAATGGGGCTGTTATTAGTTCTGACCACTGTAGGGGATATTGTCGACTATAAAATTAGCTGTTCAAACCGTGGAAGAATTACAATAGCTATAGTTGATTTTAATTAAAATGGTGCTTTAAGCCCTGACCAGTTTGGCTCAGTGGTTAGAGTGTCGGCGCTCAGACCCAAGGGTTGCAGGTTTGATTCCCGGTCAAGGGCACGTTCCT